AGGTATGGATGGAGGAGGAGGAGGAGAGGGCTGCTTTGCTGTAGAGTTACATCTTTCTCGCCCTATCGAATGGGTGGAGGATTCTGAGGTGGTCCGAGATCTTCGCCCATAGCCCTGTATTACAGATATACAAGGGTTTTAAATCATCTTACTATTAACCTAGAGGGATTATATTTTATTTTGCTTAAGAAGTTCCTTCTTTTGAAATGTCAGTGCAAACAGAGATGCAAAATCATTAGAAGTGAGTGAAATGTAGATAGGAAAGATGAGATAGCGAAAAACAGCCTGGGCGTGGCATACCATGTGTGCTGAAGACTGAGAGGTGGATCTGGATCTTCGTCCTGGTGCCTGGTTAAATACAAAGCCAGCACATGCTTTAATAAGCAAGCAACTGAACACAAAGTAGACAGTAAAGTCCCCTCCATTTCCAATCTTAATGTACATGTTCCCAAACAAAATGCAAGACATTTGAGTTAGTTATTCAGGCACATCTCTATCCTCTGGTTTAGGTGCATAGTACAGACGCAGAGAAAGCTGAAACCTAACGATGCTTTCACAGTAATGTGGCTGATCTATTAAAGAGGTAATCAAATCAGGGCATCCCACTGCATGGACTCAAAGACTGTAAAAATATTAAAAAGTGACAAAAATATTGCCATGAATAATGATGTTTGGCTACATTGTCTGTAGGTGACCTTTAAATGTTAATTTAGCAACGTTGGTATTAAAAATACCACAGTTTTGACCTGTACTTTTATTTAACAAGTTGTTGCGCCACCACTTCATCCATTGGCAATAACATCCCTAATTAAGCAAAATTAAAATTAATTCTGTTTCAGTTAAGCAACTATTACCTTATGAGGCTAAATCAGTTCCCTAAATGTCCAACTTAAGTGACTAATGATGAAAACACCTGCTGTGCATTAAAACATGTGTTCAAAACCTAGCCATGTATAGTTTGGGATAACACCACCCATTGGTTCAATGCAAAACAATACTGCCTTTTCAAAGCACGGTCAGAAGATTTGCTCATTAGGATCTGCTTTTCTCTCCTCTGATAAATGTTTGAGCCCTGCTGGGTTGTGGCAGGTTGGCATATAAACATTTTAAAATCCAACATGTCTGATTTTCCACTTCCCAGATTATTTTAAAATATCAGATCTAATTTCTCCTGGATTTTTAATTCTGCAACAGAAGACTGGACTGCTGCTGAGGTGCACTTCACATACTTAGTGTTAGAGTGCCACTGAAAAATGAGTTCCATATGTACGGAGTGAGATTTGGAGAAAGCAGTAAAGATGTAGACTATTAAAAAAAAAATACCATATTTGCCATTTTGCCATAGAAATCCTCCTCTTTTTGTTCAGGGAAAGTCTGTTGAACTGGAGATTCCTGGTGAATTCTCTGAATTGCTTGAAAAACAAAAAGAGAGCAAGTTAGTGAATTTCAGTGTTTTCCAACACACAACAGATATCTAAACAGCTGAGCTAGATGTTCCATAAATTTTACCCAACTCCTCATTGGTTAGAGATGCTAGTGCTAGAGAACCCGATGCTTTAAAGAATTAACACTAAATTTCAGGGCACATGTGAACTGCATCCAGGGTCCTTTTCTAACTTTATTATTCATGTGCAGCGCTCGACAAACTGCTGAATCTACTCGCCATGGGCAAGTAGATTTCAGCCGGTCGCTCCGTGCGCCCCATTTACCGGCGCTTTGCACATGCGCAGTGCCGATCAGGCGAGTGGCTCTTGCTGGGGTTTGTCAAGCCCTGTTCATGTGTATTTCGTTTCTTAAAAAGGACGGTCAGAACCAGCTAAGTGATGAACGCCTTAAGATGGCGGTGCACAACTGTGTCCGCGTACTTCAGCCTTGACATGCGGTATCTCTCTTTAAATTCTACAATTTCCACGGTTCTAAACCTTCACTTAAGAGTTTGAGATGAACGTCCTCCGATTCCAATCAAAAGCATTTCCAACAAAAACTGCCCACATGATTGCAATAGGTCAGAGTTGAGACATAAGTGTCCAGAAGGGAATTGGTTGTGACTCATTCACTTACCCTGGATTTATCTTTCACCCTTAAATCAAGCCTGATATGCAAGGCCAGCATTTTTTGCTTCCTTTTAAGTTTTCACACTACACTCAGTTACCCAAGATTTACTTTATAATTTTCATTATTGAAACAAGTTACCATGTGCTCAGTCTCCAAAAAAGACTTTAGTGCCCTCAAGGGTAGGGAAGACATTTATTGAGAGCACAAACCTGTTTCCTGGTTGAACTGCTCTTCCTGCCGTGTTTCTGCTGCTTGAGGAGGTGGTCCTCCAGGTGGCACTGTAGTTCCCAGGTACAGCAGAGACTGTTCAGCTCCATATTGGTTTGGAAAGCCTGGTGGTGCAAAGCCAGACCCTGGCCCGACAAAGGGAGGGGCTGAAGAATAGAAAGGAACACCACCCACTGTTTCTTGCTGGGCAGGAGGAGTCACAACTGCTGAGCCTTCAAGGATAGTCTGAGGTGCTGTAGAACAAAATTTAAGAAAATTACTTGTAATTAAAAAAAAAGGGGGGGGGGCGCAAGAGAGAGAGCGAGAGAGGGGTGGTCTAAGCTCTGGTTGGAGGAGCCAGGAACTGCTCAGTTCTAATCCCAGTACCAATTCCAACAACCACAGCTGTAAAAAACACAGAATATTCGCTTACTTTCCAGGGATGCATTTTATTGCAGTTCATGGAGAATAAATTTTCTTTAGTCTGTGTTTACTTGACAGAAGTTAAGCAAGAATTCACTAAAAGTTAAGCAAGAATACCTGGAGAATACATTTTCTCTGAGGAAGATCTAATATAGGCTGCATCTCTACAAACCAGGACTCTCTAGTTTGGCAACACCCATGGTCCAGCAGGACCACAGATGTTTCAGGATCACAGAGTCCCAGTGCAAGGCAGCAGGGGTGAGGGCAGGGCCGGGAGTGCAAATCAATTGGGCTGTGGAGGAGAGCTGGGGAGCCAGAAATGACCTCCCTTAGTCTGGCAAAATCCCTCATCTGGGACCACTCAGGTCCCAAGGGTGCTGGAGCAGGGAGGTCCAACCTGTACCTCCATATGGAATGCTTGCTTGAAAGAAACCAGCACAAATACTTCAACTGTTGCTACTTGGACTTTTTTACATCTTTAGTTCTCACACTGGCTCCTGTGACAGTAGTGAAGAAGTAGGATTAGAAGAATCGAATGTTCAAAAGACAGTTTTTTAAAAAGCAGTGAACTCTTTTGAAGTCAGTATACCTTATTTCTGGCCCCATTACAAATGAGACAAACCTGTGCCTTTATGGGTTTCTATATGAAGAACTGTACAATCTTTACAACTGTTTATGTACAATAGAAAAAGCTATCTGGCAATTATGTAACAGTGTTATTCTTATTTCTAATGCTACACAAGTCTAAAAAAGTGTATTTACTTTTAAAATGTTTCTCTTTTTAGTATACTATATGGGTTCTTCCCTTTGACATCCACATGGAGAACAATGTGAAATACTAACCTGAAGGCATTAGCTGCACACCTGGCATGTGCTGCACCATATTAGGTAACAAGGATGCCAACAATGGATTTTCAGTAGCAGGGCCCACTTCCTGTCGGGATCCTGTTCCATCATATTGACTGACATGGTCTAATTCAGAGCTTGGTGTGCTGCAGGCATACTGCTGAGGGGTGGATCTATCTGCGTTGTAAGCTATCGTACCATCCTGTAGTGAGAAAACAGAAGCCAATGAACCACCATAAGAGATTAAATTCATAACCCAGAAAGAGAATATCAAGGAAAGTCTTCTAAAAATAGATCATTCATTTGTTTCTTGAAGGTGAAGAAAGAAAAACTTTACAACTAGATTTTCCAGTCATAACTCTCGCAGGTAAAATATAAGTAAAGGGTCACTGTTGAGTCAAGTTCGGTCCAAAAACACAGATGTTTAAAAAAGCCTCAAACATACATAAAAGATCATTAAAGTGCTGATAATGGTGGTGGCATCATCCTGTGACAAAGAGGAGTTGGTAGGCAGTGACGAATCGGGGGGAGGGGGAGTGACTCCTCCGTTGCTTGGAACACCTCTGATTGTTGAATCGATGCGGATGTTCAAGGTGTAAGAGAGGCAGCCTGTTTAGAAGGGCTCGCATGCAGGCTGTGGTGTCTCCTGTATGAGCCCCAAGGACTCCAATAAGGCCATTATGCCGGATACAGTACGGAGGATGCATCCAGTGGTGGCCATACCAAGGAAGAATGGCTCTTGGATCGTATTTGGGCTTGTAATATTGCACTGGAGGGCTGCAGTGTGGCGAGGAGGCGGCCTGTACCTCCTCTTCATCATCAGCTAGAGAAATGTGACTGCACCGATAAAGCCAGTGATGTCATCCACACAGGCGAAGCATCGGTGCCAAAGAGTGGTGATTGAGGGGGCAGATGTGACTGCCAAGTCAGCCCATTGCATGTACTGCAACAGTGCCACGAGGATCGGTGCTGAGGTCTGTAATGTGTCTGTACGGTACATACGGGATGGCAGAGACCACTGGTATGTCGGCGGTACCAAGTATATGAGCAGTGACGATGGTGCTGACGAATGAGGTACTGTCGGCACAGTGGAAACGGTCGGTGCCGTAGAGCCCGGTACCGACAATGGCGTTGGTGCCATAGTCATCGGTACCGACGAAGCCGTCAGCACCGGTGGTGTCTGAGCTGGTACTGATATAGATGATGGTACCAAGGTCCATGCCGGTACGGTCTTAGGGTGATGGCTGAGCCCTTTGCCATCGGTTCCGGCAGCGTTCGGCGTGTGCTGATGCGAGGCCTCTGCGCCAATGGTTTGGGCAGAGACCATTTTCTCAAGGAAGGTGGTGATGGGGCACAGAGGAACTCCTCTTTTTGGGTGCCTGCTTGCCCTGAGGTGAGCCTGGGGGGTGAACGTACCTCCCTAGTTTTCCCAGGACTGAAGCTGGGTGTGCCTTCTTTTCCATAGGCATAAATCAAGTGAAGTTCTGGCCTTAAGTTTGGCACAGTGGGGACAATCTTGCGAGGAATGGTGTTCTCCTAAACATCTGACACACTGCGAATGTCCGTCCAAGATAGGCATTGTGTTTCTACAGGAAGCGCAGCGTGGAAGCCCGGAGAGCCAGGCATCACAATTTCTTTTGGAGTGTGTGTGTGTGTGTGTAATTATTACTAACTATCAAAACTGTTAACAACACTAACTAAAACTAAGAATTAATAGCTAATGAACAATGAAAGGTATGAACAAGGTAGAGAACTGCAGAGGTCCGTCTCAGGCTGAGGGCAGTTGAGAAGGAACTGGAGGGTGTGGGCCCCGCATGCAAGGTGCCAACTAACACGGCGCACACCAGTTGGTGCCGCACATGAGCGGCCCGGTGGGGACTGCTGCAAAATCTCCGATCTATGTGCCGAGACGGCACCAAGACCAAGCGTGGAGCATCCACGGGGACCTCTAGAAGAAGCAGCTAAGGTCCAGGGGCCAGATGCGGCCCTGGGGTGCCTCGCTCTGGCCTCCGAGGCTCAGGGCCTTCCCCACCAATGGGGAGCCCGTGCTGGCGCTCCAGCCCCCTTGGCATCTCTCTACAGATCCCGGCCCACTACTGACTCTTCTGTGGGTCAGCAGCCCTTGATGCAAAAAAGGTTCCCCACCCCTATCTTATAGGGTATGAAAACCATGGAATTTTACAGTTCTCCGTGTACAGGAATGCACGAAGTCTATCCCCCACCCTCCATCCACCCACCCCACCACCTTTCGACTTTTACACTGAAAACTGGGGCATTCACTAGACTGCACATCACCCTGATTTAAGTGATATGCAATTGGATAGCTTTAATATCCAATAAATTAGAATTTTATCATTAGAACAGAAAGCATAGCACAAACATTTTATGAAAAGGCTCTTAAGTCAAAATCTTAGCAGGGAAGCCTTTAATTTTGGAAAGCAGATTTTTTTTTACCTTGATCTGTCCATCCAACTGCCGAAGTCGTACTAACCATGATGGTTCAATAAATAATTCCTGCTCTGGTTTCTCTTTAATCTGTGGGTCGAACAGGAGCAACTGAGATGATATCTATCAAAAGAAGCATTTTAAAAATGAAAAAAGTTGGTAAAGAGGTCAATAAAATACAAACAGAGATTTCTAAGCTTTCCTTTATGAACCTATATGTACCAAGCCATGAGCGCTTAATTCTAAACAATATTCATCCTTATAGTACCTGCATAAGTTGGCTGATAAGCACAGGTGAATAATAGTAGGGATTTTTAAGAACTGTTTTGGAAATCACTTCACAGTAATGAAATGCTTGTGCGGCGAGTCCCATCTCAGCTAGTCGGCAAGCATAGATGAATTTGAAAACCTGTGGAGTGCAAGAAGATAAAGTTATAGTACAGGCTCACATCATTTTTTAAAATGTAGCTGTCAGCTGGCCGCGTCCTCCGCGGCTTTTGTCCCCCTTTTTCCCCCCCCCCCCCCCCCCCCCCCCGCG